GTGTGTGTGTGTGTGTGTGTGTGTGTGTGTGTGTGTGTGTGTGTGTGGCAGACTCTCAGAATATATAAAATGAGACTTGTTTGATTCAGATTTTACATGACGAGATCATAAATTCACCCTGCTGTACTTCCGTTCTGACAACAGATACAGATCATTGTTTAAACAACTACGTCATGATTTTATGGGTGTTTGTCGTGACCTTAAGGTGGTAAAGCTGTAAAAAAAACACTTTGTTTCTGCTGGGTGGGTGAAAAGGAAGCAGCCGCCCGCTGAGTGAACATTCAGTCTCTTCTTTCATTATTAAAGTTGACACAAAGTGAAATCCCAAAAGTGAGGGAGAGGCTGATGTTTGTTCAACGTGTGGAGGTTGACGTCAGGGTGGGTCTAAATGTGTTTATAGGATGATTCTGCATTTGATTTTTCATCAAATAAAAGAACATGCTGTATCAGCTGGAGCACTGGAGTGAATAAGTTTAAACACTGCTTTGTCTGCGTGACTCAAATTCTGTCAAACCTTAAGATGGACACACAAACCTCAAATATCAAAATGTGACTAGAGTTTTAGGAACAGAAGTGACAGAACTCTGAGTAAAGAGGTGAAACTGAGCAGATTTACCTTCCGGAGCTGCTGCTCCTTCTGCAGTCGGGCCGTCTTTGCTGAATCTCCGACCTGGACTTTATAGTTATCACAGGCGCCGACTCTGGACTGGGTGGCCTGGACTGTACCCTCCAAATACGCCCTCCACACACAGAACATGTTCCTGAAAGCACACGCATGACTTTAAAGGCGACTTTTTTACTGACTCGTGATTAAATGATGCGTCTTGTGATTAAAACATTTTAAAGTCTATTAAAGCACAAACAACTTTCATGAAGGCACTTATGAACTTGTAAAAAGAATAAACAAATCTGAAAAATCTTTTAAAACTAAGAATTGGCTAAAAAGCTCCAAAAACTCTCCACTTTTGGCTTTAACTTTAAAGTTTGCACTTGTGTTTCTCAATGCGAGGGCCCTGAGGTGAGTCAGAAAATACTGCGACACCTCCCTCTCTGAAAACAAACTTCAAGCTACTCCCTCTAACCGGAGGAGGCCGTGGTCCAGCAGAACTTCACCAAACCTTGTGGCACAACAACCGCTTCTCCTCATCAGCTGCTGGACTATTAATCACTCACAATCACATCTGTAATCATTCTCTCTACACATTTTAAAACTTTTGCATGTTTGCAATTCTTTTGAACGTGATAATTGTATTATTGTCTGTTTTTGTTTCTTTATATAACTCTTCTGCACCAAATCACCAGAAGTTCTTCCTTTGTGTAAACTAAGCAATAAATCTGATTTAAAATCTGCTTGTGTTGATGCAATATTTGACTAAACAACATACAGCAAATCTGAGTCATCACTGTTTTGTAAAGTCAGAGAGCCAAACGTTTTGTTTCTTAGTTTTCTAATTGTTTTATTTTAATATGAAGACTAAAACTATATTAAAAGTTGATAAAATATTTGTAGATTAATAAAAATGAGAAAATGGTGACACAATTCAAACAAAATTTTGTTAATGGCAGGACAAACTGGGAAAATATCCAATCAGAACCACTATTTCGTTAAAAGTCCGATTAAAACAAAAAATTGCTGTCAAAATAAACACCAAATTTAAAGAGAGATGAAATAATGCATAAATACATTTTTAAAATTCTTACATCATAAGGTGTCATTTTGAAATAACCCGTTTCAAACAAACAAGAAGTTTGCTGCAGCAAAGCATGTGAAATAATTTAAAGATGTAAAAATTATGGTTAAACTGAACAAGTGTGGCAGCTTGTAATTATCAGTAATAACCTCATTACTAAACATACAAAGGACTGATGGTCAGATAATGTTGGAAAGCTCCACAAACCTTCAGTCTAAAAATGACATAATATAAACTTCCATTTCTTATCGGAATAACCATTTGGACCCGTCAGTAAAAAACTAAACATAAGCTGGAAAAAAATAATCCAGACAATTCTTCTGTCTCTTCCCGTCAGTTTTATGTTCTTGATCTTGACCCAAACAACACAGCAGCTCTTCTTCAGTCGTGTTTCCTAAACTGCCAGAGAACATTTCTGTACTGGTTTAAATCAAAGACAGCATCACTTTAATGTCCACAGACGGAACACGCTCCGTCAGTTTGCACGTCACCAGGACAAACTTAAGTTGGTGTAAAGTCAGTGTTTTCAGGTCACTTCAGAGTTCAACACATTTAAAACAAGAGAAAAACATTTTTTTCTTAATTTATGTATGTCTGTGTCTTTGAGTAGTAGCTGTTATTAATGACTGACTGAAAGTTATAAAAATTTTACTTAAAATGTTAAACTCAACGGAGAAAAAAGGTGCATCCCTGTTTGGAGTTGTGATAAGACAAGAGTTAAAAAATAAAATAAACTATGACTACATAACAGTCTAAACAAGTTTTTCTTGCACCTGAGAACAGAACTTACCTGTGATCGGCTGATTTCTCAGCCACACTCTCCGGCCAGTCCCTCTTCAGATACTGATTTGCCAACTTCTGAAGAGCCTGAGAGAACAGGATGAAAATGTCTGAGTTTCCATCTGCAACACCAGAAATGTTAGTAATGCCTCCGTCTAAAAACAAAAACAAAAGATGACCGAGGTCCTCAAAAACTGTGAGTCATAAAAAGAATAGTCAAACCCTAACCCAATTCATTACATACAGGTCCCCGCATTTTCAAATCCAGCATCATCGTATTTGTTTCCAAAAGTCCAGACACATCCATCTTTAACGACTACAGGCCAGTAGCCCTAACATCTGTCGCTATGAAGCATCTAGAAAAACTGGCTCTTAACTGCACGGTCCCGGATACGGTCGACCCCCTCCAGTTTGCCTACCTCCCTAATCGATCAGTGGATGATGCAGTAGCAATAGCCCTACACTACACTGCAACACTTGGAAAGCAGCAGAAGCCAGAATGCTCTTCCTGGACTACAGCTCAGCTTTCAATGCCATCCACTCGGGCAAACTGATAGAGAAACTGACAGACCTCAGCGTCCCGACTTCCTCCTGTAACTGGATCCTGACAGACAGACCGCAGGTGGTGAGAATGGGAGGACAGGTTTCTGCTGAACTAACAGTCAGCACAGAATCCCTGCAGAGCTGTTGCCCCAGCCCTAAACCTTTTACTCTGTACACTTATGACTGTCTTCACCCATCCCAACACCATCGTTATTACATATGCTGACGACACCACTATACTGGGGCTCATCCAGGAGGGGAATGAGTCAGGGTACAGGACTCTGGTAGATAACGTTATGGAGAGAAGAAAGACCTCATCCTCAATACAGACAAGACCAAAGAAATCGTACTGGACTTCAGGAAGAACCCTCCCCCATTACAGCCTCTCATCATTAAAGGGACTGAGGTAGGGAGGGCTGACAGCCATTGATTCTTGGGACTGCAGGTTACATCAGACCTGAGCTGGTCTCTCAACACCACAGACACAGTGAAACAAGCCCAGCCAAGACTTTACTTCATTTGGCAGCTCAGGAAAGCAAGTCTGAACCAGCGCCCTCTCATCCAGGCCTATAGAGGACCGATGAAGAGCATCCTAACTGCAGGCATCACTGTCTGGTCTGGGGACACCACACAAGCAGAAAGGAAGGCACTGCAAAGAGTCATAAAGAGTGCAGAGTGGATCACAGGGACAGAATCTCCTTCTATGGACTCGATGTATGTGCAGCGCTGTCGAAGGAGCTGGAATCTCTTATCAGACACAAAAAATGTTCAAATAACCTGAGACACAATAGAGCGGAGAGCATCATCACCCATAGTACGAGGTTTTTATTAGGCTCTTCCCTGCCACAGTCAGACTGATGGCAAAACAAAACTACTGATCAGGTGCAATAACAACCCCACACTACCTAACTTCACTGGTCATGTGACCTGGTTTACTTTCTGTACAGTGTAGAAACCACTTTGTTCTTATTTTTATTTTATTTAGCGTTTCAGTGTTTTGACTATGACAGAGAGCTCTGCACAAGAATTCCAATGTGCCTGGATTGTTGGTCTGTGCACAAATGGCAAATAAAGAACTTTGTACCTTTTTTACATCTATTTTAATAAAACAGACAAACAGCAGGAACAACAAAAACTATAGATTTACATGTAACGTAAATTAGCTTAGATGACTTATGGCCCAAATCTTTTGAAAGGAGCTCATTTTTAGAGGAATAGTGCAATTTATTCAAAGCCCTTCCAACGTTTGAAGAACCAAAACAGCAGAAGAAACATTTGTTTGTCATGGTGTGTAAGAAATGTACACGTGACGGAGAAAACGTGAAATCATCTCTGATTAGCTATATAAACCCTTAAAATTAAACGTTAACGTGACAGAGCTGTTCTCAGTGGTGAGAACGTAGTTGTGAGAAATGAGTTGTACTTTGAACATTTAAACTTAAGACTTCTGTCGTTTACTTTGACCTTTGTTTCTGTTTTAGATTTGTCTCATAAAGAAGGAAAGAGTTCAGGCAGTTCAGGTTTTCTGTCTTTTCACATCAGCGAAAGTAAAATACATCTCCAGAAAACCACATATTCTACCCATTCATCAACTCTCCTGATTGCTACATTTGATATGTTCATTAAAATTAATGATATAGAAGAAAGGAAGAGACAATGCACATCTGACAGATTTAGAGTCAAAAAAAGGAGGATTTTTCTCTCTACATCTTGAGATGTAAGTTAAATCATTGAAAATAGTCAAATTATTATTTCAAGAATAAAATAAAAATGGCAGCAATAAAGGTTTATTTGCTAATGAAAATGGAATCAAAACCAAAGCAGGATTGTCTCAAGGACCTGTGTTAGCCAAACGTTTTGTGGTGACTTCATACGTTGGAACAGGTTTTATTTTGAACTCTTTCAATACAAACATCATAAATTACGTCTTGAGCTGCAACAAATTGGAAATATTTTTTTTTTCTTAAAGGTTTGCTGCAGTATGAGTTTACAACATAAAAATAATAATAGATATAAACTATTTTTACAAGCTTCAGATAATTTAAAGGTTTTTCGAGGTCAGTCAATGATTATGGCAGACTCTTATTGTGAAGGACTGAATGAAGTTCTGTAAGTTCTGCTGTCCAAAGAAGGGAACTTTTATGCTCCTGAACCGTATTTCTTCAGTTTTATACGCCCGTCCAAAGGCATTATGGTGTAGTATCCATCAGGAAGTCCCTAAACTTCACCTGTCTGACCCATAACTTCTGATCGAGTGTCACATACACCTTTCATTACTCCAACAACAAGGTCAAGGTTACAAATCAAGGTCAAATGTTACACAAGCTTTATGCTTCTCTAGGCTGTTGCTATAGATTGCTGTATAATAGTTTGTAGATGTGTGTATAATGTTCCGTATGCTGTACTCATGTTTTTCTTTTTGTTTATGTAACTAAACAATTTATAAAGACTGTCCAAGATTTGGGCTTTACTGTGGTTAGTGAAAGTAACCTTTTGGTTAGCTGTGCCCACCACTGCTTTTTAAACATTCAAACTTGCTTTGCTCCAAGTTTTCAGCTATTTTTCAGCTTGTTGTTTTGCTAATTTCAGCTAATGTCACTGTTTTTGTGGTCATTTTAAAAGCCCAGAGAAGCAAATTTAAATCAAAAAGCAGTTTCTTCACACTTGAAAATTTCTAGTACATTATGATTCTCATTTTCTGAGAATCCCATCACTTGAACTGAAAACTCCACTTGTGTTTGAGTATTAAGTGTTCAAACATAAAGCAGTGTGGAGGAATAGCAACTTTTTCATTTGATTTTTCTTTTCTTTCAGTAAAAGACGCTCCTCACAGGTTTTCTACATGAGCTTTTAGGTCCTAACAAGTACTCATCTATCCTCCCTCCATCATGAAAAGACAGGCTCTGTTCTGTGGGCTCTGAACTCGCTGGTGTTGGTGATCTTTGTGCCAGAGCTTCAGCGCTGCTACAGATGCGATCATTGTGGGCTCAGATTGAGAGAGAATCACCAACTGAGTGGACACCCCTGAATGATGCGATGGGGACGAGGGACACAGAGGAGGACTTTTTAGACCACATCATGTGACGTGAATAGCAATCGGCTAATGGCTAAAGCAGCCTGCAGGTGGAGGAGACTCAGGAAAATGCGCTTTAAAAGAAGTGATTTGAAAAGGGGAGCGTTACTGAAGCGAGCAGACTGTTCCCTCTGACCCACTTTGACTCAAACATTAGCAGCGGTTGTTTCACTGATCACAGAAGACAGCTCAACCCAGACTGGATGCATCAATTTAACAAAGAATACAACTGGGACATTTCATCGTTTAAGAGTTTAACAAAATTTTATTCTAAATATCAAATATTCTTTATTGATTCATTATAAGAACATTAACGACGTGGAGCTCAAAGTGACATTTTAATTCATATCTGTCCAAAGACTGCTTAAAACAAAATATATTCAATCTTTATGAACAGAAACAGTTGTGATGTCAGTTTGAGGACATCTACATGACACGGTACAGTTAAACTCGTTTCATTGTCCAATGCAGACAAACTAAATCCTTTGAACACGAGCAGAATCAGCTAAAACAGAACGTAAGAAAGTAAAATTAACAGATGGATTCAACTTACAACTGAAGACCAAAAAATAAATAAAACAATAAGCTGCACTAAATAATCAATGAAATCAATTAACAATCAACAAATCAAGTATCTCTTGTAAATGAGTCCTCGAGGCTCAATGGGATTTCCCTGTCTTAATAACGGTTGAATGAAAAACGGCTGTAACGCAGCCAGAATCTCACCGGGATACGACTACCGGTACTTAGTGAACGGTTTTTACAAGGGAGACTCCAAAATGTCTCTCAGAAGCAAACAGCCTCGTCGCTTGAACTGTAAACATACTCACAGAATTTGTGTGACAGATCATCTCTCAAAAATAATGACAGAAGCGTCACCAATTCAACTCAGTTTTGTTGTGAGCGTCTCCAGCTCCTCTCAAGAGACGTGTTTTAACACGAACACCTGAGGTGACAGCCCTCAATCTGCAGGTCTAACAACCATGTACAGTAGATGACAAATAATAATAAATGAAACCTGGTCCAAACACATCTATCCTCTTTTCAAAGGAGTAATCATAAATGTGGGGGCAGCTGCCAAAGTGGTAAAGTAGGTGGAGGTGGAAAATAGAATTTAACACAGCCTACAATAGTTTTGCAAGTGATCAATGCAAAAACAGGCCACAGTTTTTTTTATTTTTTGCACGACTGCAACTAAAGATTTGTGCATTTTCAAGCTCGAGTCAACAACTTGTCTCCAACAGTTGCAGCCCAGTGAGACGCCATCTTTATTTGATATTGAAAACAAAACCATACAAAATTTAAGAAGCTTAAAATGCTGAAGTTAGGGATGGCTTGGCTAGGGTTTCTTGAGCTATCCTTTAGTTCTGCTGCTATAGGCTTAGACTACTGGAGGACAAACAGACCACATTTCCTCACTCTACTGATGTCTTTACTCACTCTCCATATTTGCAATTATTTCTACCACTAACGTGTTTTATTTGTCTTTATACCCATAGAAACTACACCTGGACAATAGAAACTACACCTTGACCATAGAAACTACACCTGGACCATAGAAACTACACCTGGACCATAGAAACTACACCTGGACAATAGAAACTACACCTGGACCATAGAAACTACACCTGGACCATAGAAA